TCACACCTGTACTCCTGCTTTCAAATAGAACGACATCAAAGCACTCTCGGAGTGATATGAAGGCAGAACATATAAATGAAAAGAATTGGAACTGGTGCTCTGAGTTCTTATTTCATTTCTGTACTAAACAATTACATGAATAGGGCAAAGCACTGACCATCTAGATAAAAAGGAGGCAGTGGGTAATAGGAGCTATACAAGCCGTCTTTTAAACTGCTTTTGTTGGTACCTGAAAGATTTACTTGAGTTAGAAATGCATTATTAAAAAATATCATTTTTCCCTTTGTGCTTTTGTCAACAAGAAATAATTTCTGAAATCATATATATTTTTCATTGAAATAAACTACAGGAGAATATAATCAAGTAAAATGTGTGATTTTAGGACCTATGACACAGTCCAAATAAAAATAATTAGTATGATTAAAATGATCAGTATTATAATCTTGCATATTTTATTAAATTTTATTAAGCTACTTTTCACACATGGAAAAAGTTAAAAATAACATTTTGATATCATTTTATCAGTAATTTATAGAACATGTACAGAAAAAAACAAGAACAAATATGGAAGACTGAAGCAACATCATCAACAATTTGACCTAATTGACATGTACAGAATTTCAGGCCCATTAAGGGCAAAATACACATTTGTCTAAAGAACTTTCACCAATATAGGCCATAAAACAAGTCCTGATATGTTTCTTTCTTTAACTTTTATTTTAAGTTCAGGTGTACAAGTGCAGGTTTGTTACATAGGTAAACATGTGTCATGGGGGTTTGTTGTACAGATTATTTCACCACCCAGGTATTAAGCCTAGTACCCATTAGTTATTTTTCCTCATCCTCTCCTTGCTCCGAACCTCCACTCTTGATAGGCCCCAGTGTCTGTTGTTTCCCTCTATGTGCCCATGTGTTCCTGTCATTTAGCTAACAATTATAAGCGAGAATATGCGGTGTTTCTTTTTCTGTTTCTGCATTCATTTGCTAAGAATAATGGCTTCCAGCTCCATCAATGTCCCTATAATTGACATGAGCACGTTCTTTTTTATGGCTGCATAGCATTCCACGGTGTGTATGTACCACATTTTCTTTATCCAGTCTTCTACTGATGGGCATTTAGGTTGATTCCATATCTTTGCTATAGGGTGATTCCATATCTTTGCTATTGTGAATAGTGCTGCAGTGAACATATGCATGCATGTGTCTTTATAACAGAATGATTTATATTCCTTTTGGTATGTGCCCAGGAATGGGATTGCTGGGCCAAATAGCATTTCTGTCTTTTGGTCTTAGAGGAATTGCCACATTATTTTCTACAAAGATTTGCAGTCCACCTACAGTTTATAAGTTTTCCTTTTTCTCCACAACCTCACCAGCATCTATTATCTTTTGAAAGTTATAAGGAATATTACAGCCAGGTATGATGACACACCCATGTAGTCCCCACTACTCATGAGGCTTAGGTGGGAGGATTCCTTGAGTCCAGGAGTTCAAGGCTGTAGTAAGTTCAAGGCTGTAGTAAGCCATAATTGCACCTATGGCTGGCCACTGTACTCCAGCCTGGGCAACATAGCAAGACCCCGCCTTAAACAAAAAAGAAAAATATAACAAATGCCCATGTATCCAACACTCAATATTATGTAATTATATAATATTTGTCATTTTTGCCTCAGTACTTTTGATGAAATAAATTACAGTGGTCACTGTTGAATGCTTGCTTACTTTTTCCTCATCCTGCTTCCTTATCTCTTTCTCTTTCTTTCCCTAGATGTAAATATTATCTTGCATTTTATGATTGTCTTTATCATGTATGTTGGAGGCCACCAATTTTGAAGCGTAGTCAGGTAGCCTATGGCTTTAGCTGTGTTTAGTACTTTGCATTTTGTGTTCATAGAAGTAACAACAGGCTCCTCTAAGGCATTTCAGATACTCTCACTTTAACTTGTCTTTGGGACATTTGGCCTCCCATTTCAGCCAGAGGCACTGATACATCAACCAACTCTATTTGGAGAAGTCAACAACCTTCACCCATGTGCAAATGAGTAGTGTTTGCTGTGTCCTCCCTCACTTCCTGCCTCTAGGCTTCTTGTTGAAGACAGGGAGGTAATGCTATGGTCTCAGGCAGATCCAACTCAAAGGGTATGAGAGGAGAGGGTAGGGGAAGAGGAAAAGACCTATGTGGTAATGCTCCAAACAATGGGAGATGGGAGCCTGCAAAAAAATTTCTTTTTTTCTTTCCTCTATGGATGGAGAAGTCATTTAGATATCTTCTCAGAAGACAGTCTTCTGATAAATCAGTCTTGCTTAATACCGTGTAGCCCTTCTACCTTCTCTGTTTCATTACTGTTTCCCTTATTTGTATTCTAAGAGAATACGGTAGTGTGGAATAAGGAATGAAATAAGGAAGGAGGCTTAATCATGCATAGGAGGCCAGATTAAAATAGAGATATTAATCTTGTTCCAGCTCTGTCCTTTTGGCTTTATCTTTTTACATTTTATCAATCATTGCTATGTATTTGGAGCAGAGGTGATATAGCTTATTTTTCCATCTTTTTAATTGCATTTTAGGTTTTGGGGTACATGTGAAGAACATGCAAGATTGTTGCATAGGTACACACGTGACAGTGTGATTTGCTGCCTTCCTCCCCATCACCTGTATCTGGCATTTCTCCCCATGCCATCCCCCCCAACTCCCCACCCCCTGCTGTCCCTCCCCTATTTCCCTCCAACAGACCCCAGTGTGTAGTGCTCCCCTCCCTGTATCTATATGTTCTCATTGTTCAACACCCACCTATGAGTGAGAACATGTGGTGTTTGATTTTCTGCTCCTGTATCAGTTTGCTGAGAATGATGGCTTCCAGGTTCATCCATGTCCCTACAAAGGACACGAACTCATCATTTTTGATGGCTGCATAATATTCCATGGTGTATATGTGCCACATTTTCCCTGTCCAGTCTATCATCAATGGACATTTGGGTTGGTTCCAGGCCTTTGCTATTGTAAACTCTGCTGCAGTGAATTCATGTGAGTCTGATGGGCTTCCCTTTGTGGGTAACCCAACCTATCTCTCTGGCTGCCCTTAGCATTTTCTCCTTCATTTCAACCCTGGTGAATCTGACGATTATGTGTCTTGGGTTGCTCTTCTTGAGGAATATCTTTGTGGTGTTCTCTGTATTTCCTGGACTTGAATGCTTGCCTGCCATGCTAGGTTGGGGAAGTTTTCCTGGATAATATCCTGAAGAGTATTTTCCAGCTTAGATTCATTCTCTTCGTCACATTCAGGTACACCTATCAGACGTAGATTAGGTCTTTTCACATAGTCCCACATTTCTTGGAGACTTTGTTCATTCATTTTTACCCCTTTTTCTCTAATCTTGCCTTCTTGTTTTATTTCATTGAGATGATCTTCGACTTCTGATGTCCTTTCTTCAGCTTGGTCAATTCAGCTGTTGAAACTTGTGCATGCTTCATGAAGTTCTCATGTTGTGTTTTTCAGCTCCATCAATTCACTTATATTCCTCTCTATGTTGTCCATTCTCATTAGCATTTTGTCAAATCTTTTTTCAAGGTTTTTAGTTTCTTTGCATTGGGTTAGAACATGTTCTTTTAGCTCACGGAAGTTCCTTATTACCCACCTTCTGAAGTCTGATTCTGTCTTTTCATCACACTCATTCTCCATCCAGTCTTGATCCCTTGCTGGTGAGGAGTTGTGATCCCTTGTAGGAGGATAAGTGTTCTGGTTTCAGGTGTTTTCATCCTTTTTGCACTGGTTTCTTCCCATCTTTGTGGATTTATCCACGTGTCATCTTTGTAGTTGCTGACTTTCAGATTGGGTCTCTGAGTGGACATCCAATTTGTTGATAATGAAGTTATTTCTGTTTCTTAGTTTTCCTTCTAACAGTCTGGCCCCTTTGCTGTAGGTCTGCTGAGGTGCACTCCAGGCCCTGCTTGCCTGGGGATCACCTGCAGCAGCTGCAGAACAGTAATGGTTGCTACCAATTTCTTTTTCTGCTATCTTTGTCCCAGAAGGATACCCGCTAAATATCAGTCTGATCTTTCCTTTAGGAGGTGATTCTTTGGATATACAGGGGTCAGGGAGCTGCTTGAGGAGACAGTCTGTCCTTTACATGAGCTCAAGTGCTGAGTTGTGAGCTCCGTTTTTCATTCAGGGCTGCTGGGCAGGTACGTTTAGGTCTGCTGCAGTAGAACTCATAAACATCTTTTTTTTTTTTTCCCAAGGTGCTCTGTCCCAGGGAGTTAGGGCTTTATTTATGAGTTTCCATTGTGCTGCTGCCTTTTTTTGGGGGGCTGCCCTGCACAGCAATGAGGCAGCCTGGTCACTGTCTGCCTGCAGAGGGTTTGCTGAGCTGCTGTGGGCTCTGCCCAGCTGTCGTGTGAACTTCCCTGCAGTCCTGTTTGTATGAGTGTAGTTAGAACTGTCTCAGCATTGGGGGCCACCTCTGTAATGGCAGACTCTCACTGTAATGGCAGGTTGTGTTGGCAACGGCATGCTGCCTCGGCAACGGTGGGCTGCCTCGGCAATGGTGGGCTGCCTCGGCAATGGCGGACGTCCCTTCCCCACAGAGCTGGACCATCCTGGGTTCAGCTGTGCTTGCTGTGAAACTCTCAATCCAAAGAGTTTCTGATAGCTGTTCTTTTGTGGGGATGGGACCAGCCGATCCTGATCACCTGGCTCCCTGCCTCAGAGCCTTTTGTTTTTAAGTTGAACGGTTGACTCTCAGATGTTCCAGTTGCCTGTTTTAAAGGCGCCGGGGTCTATATGATTTCCCCTGTGGTGACTCACTGCGCTGGCTGAAACAGCAGCATTGAAATTCGTGGGGCTTTTTTTTTTTTTTCCTGTTTGTTTTTATCCTGGAATCTCCTGGCGTGGCTCCCTGTTTCAGACCCCTTTTTAGTCAGATGAATGGGCGACTGCAAATTCCCAGGACTCCAATAGCCAGCTAGAAGGGCACCCAAATCAGTGTATTTTATATGGAGAATGGCCATGCTGTGGCACTGCAAAGCAGCTGCGCAGGCCAAAACAGCTGCAGGGACCCAAACGGCCATGCCGGCCAAAACAGCCGTGCTAGCGACCCGTGGGGCTCCTCCGCCTGGGAATCTCCTGGTCTGTGGGCAATAAAAATCCGTTTGGAAATGTGGTGTTCACTCACCCTCTGTGCTTTCACTGGGAGCTGCAATCCTGAGCTGTTCCTAAGCAGCCATCTTGGATCCCTCCTGGCTTACATTTCCATCTTGACTAGAAGCCATTGGTTTCATCTTTGCAATTGTTTTCTTGCTGAAAACATCAATATTACTTGAATACAATTTTGTATTCAAGAAGAAATATTTAGTATTATTATTTATATTTTTCTTATTACTTGTGAAACAATACAAACTCCATCAGAAAGCCTGACATAGAAGAGGAACATGATGATTAGTTTCTTTGCTGTTCCTTTTTCTAAAATGTAATTCCTGAAGTCTCAGTACTTGAACAAATTTTCTATGTTTTGTGCCTATTTATATCACTATAGATAACTCATGCTGGATTTACCCCTGACCCATATCTGTTTTTCTTCCAAGATTGTGAATATGAGGGCAGGAATTCTGTCTTATTTTTGCAAACAGCACAGCGCTAGGCCCAGTTGACTCTCAGTTAATGTACGTGGAATATATTTGACATTTGGTGTATACGTAGATAAACAGGCTTAAATGTTTTGGATATTTATAAGCAATTCTCTTGGTTTCTTCCCTGAGTATAGAACATTCTGAATCCATGGTTAGCAGTTCACTGTTGTGATGGCATATGTGATTCCCGCTGTTGAGTGTGGCTCTTCGAGCAAATGTACTCACTGATGTGATAGTTTGTCTGAAAAGGGGAATACTCTGTAAATGGCATACTTCCGGTAATTCAGGGTGTAATTTATAATAAGGACTCTATAATATCATGATAAAAGTGTCTCATTAGCAATAAAAGCTATTAATGCCACTCTTATTAATGAACAATTGCAACAGCATCCATCATTGGACTAGAAAGAGCAAGAGTGAAGCAATCGACACTGTGGATTAAGAGTTGTTGAATGATCAGATGGATGTTGGGGGTGAGAAAAAAGCTACAATCCAAAATGACTCCAAGGCTTAGAATTTGAATAGTATGAGAAGATGACTATGTCATCTTATGATACAGGGAAATAGGAGAAAGGAAGGTTGTGTAAGGGAAATAGATGAGCTTTGTTTTTACTGACTTTAATATAAAGATTACTTATTCATTCAAGAAGTAATTCATTAAGTTTATATGGAACACCTATTATTACCAGGCATTGTGGTAAGCTATAAGCACACAAGTAGTATTCTCCATCGGACATTCTTTTAAAGAACTCATGTCATCAAATTTTCAGGCAACTCAAATGTAAGTAAAATAGTGATTGTGTTAGACAAAATATTATGAATTAAAAATGTGTATTACTGAAGAAGCAATAATGATACAAAGTTAAATGACGAAATGTAACAAAAATAAATGTGTGTAAAAAAAGCTTGATGTCTGTCGATAGTATGCCATGGCTGCTTCTCTCCACAACCCATCAAATATATTCTTAAGCAGTAGTAATACAAACATACAATGAAACAAGAGATGTAGAATGTGTTTGCCAAATAAATAAATGCATGAATGATAATCCATCGAAACCTTTTCATATCACATCTAGTGTATTGTGGTCAACTCTAGGTGCTACATTTTTAGCACTAGCCAACCATAGAGTCATTCTATGTTATGTGAAGAACAATTAGAGGACCTAGTCACATTTAGGAGAAAAGTCACTTTGAAGTATTTAGCCTCACTGCCCAATGGCAATGTCAAAACTGAGGACATTTTAGCAGAAATACTAGGGAGGAAGATTTGGCACAATACAAGATGTAATTTGGTAACCAAAGTTATCCTGTGTAAATGAGAGCTGTTCACGCAAAGACTGGATGAAGGGAAGTAGCAGAAAGAGCTCCTGTTAAAAGGCAGTGTACTTTATCACTTGTATAAATTTTGCAGCTATTAATATTCTAGTAGCCAATCATTTCTTCACTCTAAATCTAAAGAAAAAAAAGAAACAAGCCGGGCGCGGTGGCTCAAGCCTGTAATCCCAGCACTTTGGGAGGCCGAGGCGGGTGGATCA